AGGGCCCCACACACCTCGTTCTTTCTCGACGTTTTTACCCGACGGGTAAAACTGTTGGAACGATGGAACGAGAACTGTTGAGCCTACACACCTCGGGTAAAATTGTGTCAGTTTTCAAAGATGAACCGTGTACAGTTGTTGGCAGTGGCAGCGGCTGTAGTTGTTAAAAAAAGGAAGCCACGAAGAAAAGATCACGGTCCAAATGGACCAAGGAATGGCTACTCAAGCGAGGTATGTTGTCCCATATAAATTTATTGGAGGAACTAAGATTGGAGCCAGGAGATTGGCATAATTATCTTCGTATGGATGAGGAAACCTATCTAAAACTTTTAAGATTGGTAACACCGTTAATTAAAAAAAGTGACACTCATTTACGGCCGTCCATTAGCCCTCACGAGCGCCTAACATCAACATTACGATTTTTGGCCACTGGCCGAAGTTATGAAGATCTCAAATTTTCTGCAGTTATTTCGCCTCAAGCACTAGGCCAAATTATACCAGAAACTTGTGATGCTATTTATAGTGTACTGAAAAATGAGTACTTAAAGGTAAGAAAATTAAGACGAATTAGCTTCAAAATCACTTTATTATTATAGTTCTGTTTGATTTACAATTCCGGAAGTTCACTTGAAAATTGGGCAATATATGTAGCTGCAGTATATTGCTGTGTTTGATTATTTTGTATTGTATTCTGAGCAGTGTGGCCCACTTCTTGAATTGGAGGTTGAGTACCTGGATACTGTTCCTCTAATCTTTGTTGTGAATACTGAGATGCTGGGTACAGTAAATTCTGCTGTTGCACGGGTGCATGAAAACTATGTGGATTGAATGATGACATTGGAGGAAAATGCGGCTGGTTCTGCTGAGCTGACCAATTTTGTTGATTTCGAGTGTCGTATAGATTCATTTTTGTAAATTTGTGTACATTTCCTAATTGGCTTTCAAATATTACGTCCATTATAATTTTCTCCGTTAACAGTGCTGTATGCTGTGGTAAAGTTCGTAATTTATGAGCAATATTTTTACCAATTACATCAAATTGATCTTCTACTTGTGATTGACTGTCCAATTGTTTATCTATTTTCATGAGAATGTCATCGGCCTTACATCTTTTGGCTCTACTGTTTTTGGTGGTAACAGATCTACTACTGCTGGACATAGTAGCAGTTGATTGTGCGGAGGTAGGTCGCGAAGGCCCTACAATCGCAACTGGAGATGGGGCCGGTGACTCCTCTTGTCCACTTGCAGTTAATCCGCTCTAAAAAAATAATACTTTTATGTAATTTATGTAATTATGTAACTTATGTAATTCAATTGCAGTTTCCAAAAACGGAAAATGATTGGAAAGCTATAGCGAGAGAGTTCGAAGACAAATGGAATTTTCCTAACTGTCTCGGAGCCGTGGACGGGAAGCATGTCCAGATCGTACCACCTCATAATAGTGGTTCCTATTTCTACAACTATAAATGCAGTCATAGTCTCGTGCTATTAGCTGTTGTTAATGCAAATTATAAATTCATTTATTGTCATTTTGGAACAAATGGCAGAGTATCTGACGGTGGCGTTATAGAGTACACAACTTTTTATGACAAGTTGAAAGACGGAACATTAAGGATACCACTAGCAAGTGAACCAAAAAACAGTGGGCGTCTCCTTCCATATGTATTTATTGGGGATGAAGCCTTTGCTCTTCGCGAGGATTTTCTGAAGCCATTTAGCCAAAAACAACTTAATAGTGAAAAAAGAATATTTAACTACCGGTTATCCAGATGTCGACGAATTGTCGAAAATGCTTTTGGAATTTTGGCCGCCAGGTTTAGACTATTTCATACCGCCATTAATATGAAATTAGAAAATATCGACAAAGTGGTGTTGGCTTGTTGTGCGCTGCACAATTTTTTACGAGAAAGCAGCAGTGATTATTACAGCCCACCAACTTCTTTTGACAGTGAAGATATAGAAAGGGGTGAAATCCAACTGGGCTTACGGCCTGAACCAAACACTTTGGTGAATTTGCAAAGCAGCCACAACTGAAATGCTACAGACAATGCCAAACACGTTCGCGAAAAATATATGCAGTATTTCTGTAATGAGGGAAGTGTCCCTTGGCAAGAAGCCTTTATTTAATATCATTGTTGCTATAGGTTTTTGATTTTGTAAATTCAGAGCTAGGAAATTCCATTTTATATTGTACTTACTTTACCTTTACATTTAAAGCAATAAATATCAACAATTCCCTTTTCATTTAAAACAATATTTTCAATAAAATGTATAACAAATACTTACTTCCTGCAATTCAGCTTCCGAATTATCCTCTACTTCATCCTCGTCCTCTTCTTGATCTATATTTTCTAGACCAGCTCTTGGGGTTTCTTGATCTGTCAGGAACAGCAAAAGCTCAAAGTACCGTAGGTGAGGAGTGTAAATCTCTTCCGCTCCTGCTCCTGATTTTCTTGACTCCTTAACTTTTTTCATTTCCTTTCTGAAACTACCACGGAGTGAATCTATTTTCTTTTTTATTGTGTCTATTGTCGCTGATGGGTCCACTTCTTTTAGTCTTACCAATAATTTTTCATAACCTTTATTTTTTTTGTTCGGTCGCTGTATTCGGCACTTTTGATTTTCCAGAGACACGGAATACTTCTGTATAACTCAATAAATTCCGTGAGGAATTGCTTATTGACTTGCCTTAAGTCAGTCATTATCTCAAATGTGCATTAAAATGTGCATGTGCCACCACTGATAAAACCGTCGTGTTTAGCCCACACACCTCGTGTTTACCCGAAACGATGGAACGAAAACCGACAAAAATCAAGCACAACTTGATATTTTGGAACGACGGGTAAAACCGACGGTTTTAGTCCACAAACCTCGGTTTTGCAACAGTTTTAACCGAACCGTCTTACCCGTCGGGTAAAAACGTCGAGAAAGAACGAGGTGTGTGGGGCCCTTAAAGGAAAAGTGCGCGTAAATATCAAATAGGAAGCAGGGTTCATATGTTTTTTTCAATGACGTTTCGCATTTTACTCTGTCTGCCAAAATTTTTGTGCCCGTACCCGTTTTAGAATAACTTCAACATGTCTTTCTCTAGGATTTGTAACAAAAAAGCAATCAATTTTGCAAAATCTAATTCCACCAAGACGACGATGCTGGTTTACGACAGACAGCGCAAAGCTTCATTACCGAAAGAAAACTACAGCAAACCAAGCAAGTCTTTGGCTTGTAGAAATTTGTCACATTTTAACGCGTAACCTTTCAGAAATAGCAACAGTTCCGACCAAGAAGATTAAAATTTGCACGGGATCGGAAGTAAAGAAAATGTGCCGTCCGAAACCGTGCGAATGTCCGCCTAAAACTTCATCGTCGAGAAGCTTTATGGCGATGTGCGGTTTCTTAATGAAAAGTTTGATTGCCGGTAGCGTCGTTTATTGGACGTACGATGCCGGAATATGGGGTGATTCTGAAAGAACGGAGGAGGTGTACACAAACTTGTGCCACATGCTACACGGAGATACGCATAAGCAAATCACACATATCAGCAAGGCGTGCTTAGCCGAAATGGAGTTACGGAAATTGGTATTCGAGAATGACTAGACAACTATGTACAAAAAGGTGTCGTTTTCAGAGTCCTACCCCTCCACCCGTGGATGAATGCTCAAGACCACCAATCGATAGTGGGAAGACTATGTATAAAATAAAGGACGCCTGGAATCACGCAATTACATGTATTTTTGAAGGAGTAACTCAATTTCCAGGCAATATAATGCGGTGGTACAATGAAAAGCAAGGCAAAGAGCGCAAGTGTATCCCTGTAAAGACTAAGTAAACACTGGACATAAAGCTTTGTGGAACGAATTCTCCCTTACTTTTTTTACATTTGAATCCCGTCATCATGGCCCCGTCGTTTTGGTCTACACATTAATCTAGTTCCTCAAGAAGTTATGAGCAGTTCATTGTGTATCTGTGTGTCGTAGAATAGTTGGTATTCTAATGTCAACTTGTATATATTTTCTTCCTTTTGGAACTGATGCGTCACCACGAATATACACCTCCAATGTTTGATCACTTGGTCCATTGAACGTTTTAAGGGAGTTGAACAAATCTCCAAAGGGTTAGGTGAACCATTTCTATCTCCGCCTGTGGTGCCTTGTGCGCAGCTTGCATCGCCATTTAATGTTCTTTCGAAACCTGTCAATAATTCTGGTGGAAAGGTTGGCTCTCTTTGATTTCCCCTTCCTAAGGGTGCCCAATGTAGCTTTCTTCGAACCAATGTAATATTGGTTCCAGTGTGTTGCTTCGCTTAGTTCTTCGAAAACCTCATCGACATTTTTGATAGGCACAAACCCAGAGCAACTCTATTGTAATGCGCTGTAAATCCTTCACGCACCGACTTTTTCATATCTTTGACCAAGTGGAAAACAACCAAAAAAGTTTGAATTTGAAAACATCAATTTCAATATGCATTTATAGCTTAGACAAGGAAAGAGAGGGGGCCCGTAATACCGTATTCACGGCCTTCGTGAATTTGACACATATTCAGAGACGACCGCCATATTTTCGGGGGCACACGTAGCGTGGTGGCAGTGTGTATTTACTGACATTTCTCTATTATTTACAAAGTTTGTGTGTGCAAAACTGAATGAAATAAACATGGTGAATTGTTCTGCGTACAAATGTAAAAATCGCAATGCTAGTTGTGCAGTGTGCTGCAGGAATATCATTTCATAGGTAAGATAAAAAACGCAGGTTGTCTGGTATGACTAAATTTAATTAAATCTTCATGGTAACTAATAAAATACTTCTAAGGTTTTCATTTTTCTGATCGTACAATTGTCCTAGATTTTTGTGCATCAATGAAATAGTGCTTTATAATTCTTTTCAATGATAATTTCTCGATTACATTAGCAAGTGCTATAATATACAAGCGATTCTCCAGTGGCGGCGTGACTATCTACATGCTTTCTGTTCTATGACCAAAGAGTAACGGTACTCTTTGCTATGACGTAACTTGCAGGTGCATGTTTACTTGCCTAACCTTCAGGCGACGGATTACTTTGTATGGAGTAATGTAACCACAGTGTATGTTGCGTTCAAATAGCGACAATTACCTGTCTTTAAATAAAATTTCCTTTAAATTGAATGTACCGCTAATTTCCCATCCTCTACCTATTCTTTGCACTTAACATTTAATGTGTGCACACTGGCAGATAGAAAAATCGTGATCATCGACCGACGTTTGAAACAATACACATCGATTGCAACCACATTTGATAAAGGCAAGATATGCTGATGAAAGATCATTGTGCTTAAACCTCTTAGGGGAGGGAGAAAGACATCTCAATTGAATACTATGGCCTTCGTCGTCTTCGCCAACACCTTGCTATGGTACCAAACTCTCATTGAAGTACAAGGCAACATTCGTCAATCTGGACTTTCGTATAAAACGCATAAATCTTGACTTCGTTTTCCAAACTGCTGCATCGCTTTATCGTCAAAGAACGCTTTTGTATAATTGTGAGTATTCCTTCATTTATTCCATTTTATGGTCGCTATTTTGTTTAGAATAATTTCCCATTCTGCAATCATCGGCTGCATTTGCTCTCAAGATTCAATCAGAAAGGAACATACGTGTATTTTATTTGTATACAGTTTTCAATATATGATTTATTTACTTACTAAGGTTGTATTTTATTTTCCTTCGTGATAACCAAACTGATAGGAGGTGAATCAATCAAGACAGATTACAGTTCAATAATTACTTTGTTGGTGTAAGATCACCTGGTCCTACGTACTACATCTCTGCAAACAATGTATAACCTAATGATAGATTACAGATACGTTGGGAAATGTAACTTTAGAACACGTTAATTATAATACAATTTTCAATTTAGGTTTCCCACAAACACGGATATTTGCAATGAATGGGTGAAAAATATGAACATAGTGTTCACACCAACAAAAAACAGCAGATTGTGTTCAAAACATTTTGAAGAAAAATGTTTTATTAGAACTTCTTCTAGACCGCTTTTGCTGGCGAAAGCTGTCCCCACAATTTTTCCGGAACTTCCTTTATCATGTCAACCAAAGCAGGTAAAACTGAAATATCAAGTATGTTTTCATTTGTATTAGCTGACATTTTACAACAAATTGAGGTTCTGAGCACTGTACTCGATTCAATTCCTGAAATATATGATACGATATATCGCCAGTGGAAACATGAATCAGTTCCAGATTATTATATTTAGCTCACAAATAAAAAATGTACTAAAATTTCTTTATAATCATTATAATCAATTGGAAGAATGAATGCATTCTTATCTGTGTTAACTCTAGTGCCACATTAGAATGAAAATGTGTTTACAGAATTTGAAAAGGAGACGGCGCAGAACACCTTCACCAGCGGAGCAAGAACCCTAATGTTCAACAGAGCTGCTCACATCACGGAAGAAAAAATTAATTGAAAAATTACAACGAGAAATTACTAAAAATAAAAAATCGTCATTAAACATAAAAACTTTAAAACAGAAAAACCGTAGATATAAGAGAAAAATTATGACATTGTCAGCTTTGTTAAAAAATTTGAAGGATAAGAATTTAATTGATGGTGAAGACCATAAGTTATTACAATCCGTATCACATTTTAATAAGGAGATTCTAAGGAGAAAGAAGGACACTAAAACTAAATATTCACCGCAACTAAGAAAATTTGCACTGACTTTGCATTTTCTTTCTCCAAAGGGGTACAATTATGTCAGAACAGTATTTGATACGTGTCTGCCCCATCCAAGCACCATCGGAAAATGGTATAAATCGGTGAATTGTTCCCCTGGATTTACATCCGAAGCCATAACCGCCATTCACAAGCAAACCGACATATCGGGAAGAAAAATGTATATAGCTTTGATGATTGATGAAATATCAATACGCAAACACTTGGAATGGGGTGGAACAAAACATTATGGGTATGTACATTTTGGGACAGCACTGGAAGAGGAATCTAACCAGCTTGCCAAAGAAGCTTTTGTAATCATGGCAGTAGCTATTAACGCCAAATGGAAATTATCAATAGGTTTTTTTAACTAATTC